AGTAGGAGGAGTAGTCGTAGTAGTAGTAGTAGTAAGAGTAAGAGTAGTAGTAGTAGTAGTAGTAGTAGGAGGAGGAGGAGGAGGAGGAGGAGGAGGAGGAGGAGGAGCGGTTGTTGTGATATACATGCATCGATGATGAGACAGAAGGGGGAGCAACGCACGAGGCACCGGTTTCCTGTTTTGGCTTGACTGTCCGCCGGGCGCGGGTGGACGGGGCAGTTCTTTCCCTTCTGGCATCGTCGCCGGAAGTGGCAGGCTCGGTCTTGGGCTCTCTGTCCCGCTTGGCGGGCGAGGCGCGTGACTGGGCCTGCGACAGGCGGCGGTAGTAGTCAGCCAGCCTGTGCTCGCCCGACAGCGAGGCCCGGTTGGCGGCGAGGTGGTCGTCCAGCGCCGCCTCCAGCTCCGTCTTCTTGTAGTCCCCGTAGCTGCGTGGGAGGAAAGGCAGGCAGGCAGGCAGGCAGGCCTCCTGTTAGCAGGTGTTGTGTGCGGGCTCGTGGCAATGATGCGCGCGCAAACAGAGACACGGAAAGAGGAGGAGGAGGAGGGGGGGGGGTTAACGTACTCCTGCAGGTTGGAGATCTCGGCCAGGAGGACGAGGTCACTCTTGCGCAGGCCGCGCAGGTAGGGTAACGCGGGTGACATGATGGGGTGTTGCTGCTGTACTGCACTGTTGATGGAATAATCTGTGTCGCGTAGAGAATGCGATTGTATCTAGTTAAGGGGTGGGTGGGGGGTGGGGGGGGAAGAGCTGTAGCTGTATATCCAATGCAGAGGGTAAAGGTGTGTGGGTTGTGGGTGTGGTGTGTGGGTGTGGGTGTGTGGGGTGTGGTGTTGTGGTGTTGTGGTGTTGTGGGTTGTGGGTTGTGGTGTTGTGGGTTGTGGTGTTGTGGGTTGTGGTGTTGTGGGTTGTGGTGTTGTGGGTTGTGGTGTTGTGGGTTGTGGTGTTGTGGGCGTGGATGACGCGAGATGGTGGAGTGGAGGAGAGAAAAGGACGAGAGGCGAAGAAGGGAGTGTTGTTGGTGGAAGGTCTGGAGTTTGCCGGGAAAAGTTGGACTTGGTTGCTGCGCTTGTGCCTGTTGGCGCCTGTTGTTTGTTGTTTACTCTGCTCCACTAGCGTGTTTTCGTCCCGGCCCTCGTTTGTTGTTTGTTTACCCGCTGGTTCTTTGATCCGTGGAAGAGCTGCACCCGCACCGCAGAGGACGTTTAAGAGACTGAATCTCTTTCTTGAGCAGCGCAGCAGAGGCGACTCTATTTTCCACAGGGGGGTGGGTCCTTCTGTTGGAGATCGTCTCCGGGGAAAACAGATATAAATGGAATGTGATGCGATTACATGCTCTGTAATGGAGATGAGTAATTGCACGTTTTTTCTTTTCTTCTCCTGCTTCAGGCGACTAGTGACGCCCTGAGCCTTGGTTAATTAAAAGCTTCGAGTTCCATGTAGTAGTGATCTGGAATTTAGTGAAGTTAACGAGGTTACATACAGTGCGGTTCTGTACATATCTGCTGGATATTGATTGCTACGCGTCAATCATCTGTGAATTAGTTTTTATACCAGAGTCGTTTCATACCCAACATCCCCCATCCAACACATGTATATAGAGAAGCATCACCGGTCCCGTCGTTCTGTACAGGCCAATATACCTAGAATAATAGAAGGATGTGGGAAAAGAACCAAGAAAAGAACCAAGAAATACCTGCAACACAAAAAGAGAAGAATTTTTAAAAATGGGGAAGAAATGGTATATAAACCAGAAACAGAGAAAATAAAAAATAAAAAATAAAAAATAAAAAATAAAAAATAAAAAATAAAAAAAAAAAAAAAAAAAAAAAAAAACGCCTTTCTATGCCAAAATGACACATTATCCCTGGACCCTGAACATCCAGAATCAAAACCCCAGAAAAAAAAAAACAGGGCGCCACATGGGAAAACCAACCAGAAGCCATTGCATCAAAGCTTTAACCCCCCACCACCCAACTCCTCCTCCTCCTGCTGTCGCCGCTGTTGCCGATGTGTATCCAGCTTCCTCAGCAGATACTGATACAGCACCAACATCGTCCCGCTCTGCACACTCGTCCACAAGAACCGCGGCCCAACACCACGGAACCACCCCACAAGACCTTCGGTCTGGTATATCAACTTCAACCCTG